GCAACCGTAGACGTACTAGATGTGGTGGACTGTGTTGCAATCTCTCCACCAGGTGTAGTACAAGTAGCGGCATCAACAATAGTGCTGGTGTTCACGGTTCTGCCTCTACAGAACCCACATAAACAACCGGATACAATCTGACGAAAGGCGTTAAGGGCTTAATTAGGGTTTTAGAATCCCTAAACCCTAAATCGGCGCTGGTTTTATGGGGGAGGTCCGGTCGCACGGATGGCTTTGGGTTCATGGCTTGCGTTTAGTCCCCCAGATCGTTTAAGCTCTGTCAGAACTCAGAAGACCCAAAAGGGTCCATATGTACTACTATTGTGGAATCAGGTCCCAATTCAGATCTTTGAAGCTTTGTCAGAACTCCTAAGAGTGGGTGGCCCTCGCCCCGGTCAGAATCGTCCAGAATTTAGCCCATCGTCTTGGAAGAGCTGCAATGTAGATACATGCGAAGCCCAAGTACAGGTCCGGATTTGCTTCGGGCCTACTAGCCTCGTTCGCAATGCTAGGGTTTAGGGCTCCTGAACAGGCTCATGAGAAGTCCCCTTGAGGAACCCTATATAGATCCCCTTAAGGAACCCTATATAGATCCCCTTAAAAAACCCTATATAGATCCTCCATAAGTCCGACTTGGGCCAAGGTGCATCAGCTGTGGGCCTCCTTTGGCCTGCGCCGACAAGCACCCTAATATGGGGGCCTCAATAGTTCGAATAGGATTTAGAGGGTTCTTAAAAAAGGGCTCTACCTTAATAATTCGAATAGAATTTATAAAGGTTTCTTAAACAGGGCTCTATAAGGGCTGAGTATAGGGGCCTTGATAATTTGAACAGGGTTTTGGGGCCCATGCCTAAAATGAGACTAAGGAACTCCCAAAATAGTTTGGTAATGATTTAGGCCCCTATGCTAATCCCTGAACCCTGCCCCCTAAACCCCGAACCCTGAAGCCTAAGCCCTGAACCCCGAACCCAAGGAGGGCGGGGTGGAGGCTCAAGGGCTATATTCTGCCAAGAACTTCGAACGGGGAAGACGCTGCCTTCCACAACATGTCCGGAGTATTGGTCTACGATTAAAGGGGCTTTGATACTCAGAACAGGGCTTTGGCCCTTTTTGTACGGTAGAAGAGATACAATCAGGAACCCTCGAGGGGCCGTCATAATTTGAGTAGGATCTTGGAGCGTTTATTCCATACTGCGGCAAGAAAATTCGAGCACGGACCCGAAACTTATATGGGGTTTCCGAGAATGGGAGACCCTGAACTAGTACCCTTAATCGTACGATCCTTATTATAAGGACCCCAAAATAAGGTTCCCCCAATTTTCGAAAACTCCCAAATTACGCCCCACAGAACTGAAAATCTTATGAAAATGCAGTGTGCCTGCCCATCCAGTGTGCTACCTTGGACTCAGAGGAAACCAAGGCCGGGCGTGGAATGAGGGCTGGGCCCCTGCGGGAGTGTTCTGCTTAAGGCTTGACAGATGCGATTCGAAGCAGGGAGTGGCAATTGTGCCAGAAAAGAGAATGACATTTCAAAAGACTCCCCCAACACCTCTGAACCCCAAAGCCCTGACCCTCAAGCAGCTCAGAACACCCCGGAAGATGTCCCGTCTTCTCGCCTTTTGTGCTACACCCGGTGAAATGCCTTACCCCAGAAGCCTCTCACCACCCTACAGCCGAAGACTAATGTACTTGTACGGGCCTCAATAATCAGAATAGGAACTTGGGCTGTTTTACAGTAGGTTAAAACAATAAAAAGCTCTAAAGGGGCCTGTGCAACTGGAATAGGGTTGTGGGGCTCTGCTGTAGCATAATTATAGTAAGGAACCTTGAGGAACAATTAGAACAGCTTGAGGAACCCTAGAAAACAATTCGAAAATGGAGTCTCAGGAACCCGAGGGAACAATTGGAGTCGGGCTTTGGGAGTATGTTGGACTATAATTCTGAAAAAGGAACCACCCAAAGTGGTCGTGGTAATCTGTTCGGCTCCAACATGCTTGCGATAAGCATCACGCCTTGGACCCTGTGCCCTCTGTAGAAATGCCAGATTGCTTGGGCCGACCCCACGGCGGCGAGCCTGATGCTGGCATGCGGAATGTGAGGCGGGTGAGGCGAGTGTGCACGTATCTCTCCCTTTCCCTGTCCCTCTCCCTCACACACACAACACACGCGCACACACACACACAGACACACACACACACACTCTCTCTCTCTCTCTCTCTCTCTCTCTCTCTCTCTCTCTCTCTCCAGCTACACTTCTTCATACATATACACATGCGCTCACACAGACACACACAGAGCCATAGCCTGATACATGTAAACGATGCGACCCCCTCGAGGGTGCAACCCCTCTAAGCCTTGATGCATTCTGTGCCAGAGGCCTGTTGATGGGAAAGCACGGTTGCCTTGCCTTTTGCCCACTAGCGGGCCCTTGATTAGAATGGGGTTCTGGGGAATATTCTCGTAGATTTACCATGTCCACAGGATGCCTAGTAACATAGGGGCCTTAATAATTAGAATAGGGTTTTGGGGCCCATTATATTGCAATAAAATAAGGACCCCCCCAAAACAGTATTTGTAATTTTTTAGGCGCCTATACTAACATCAAATCTCTTGATGTTGGCACAATGGAGTTCCCAAAAAGGCCCAGCAGCACCCCTTGCAAGTACATCTGACGTCTGAAGCTCCTACCTACAACCAGGAACCACTTTCTTGTTCAAAACACGGCCTGTTTTCGAACTCGTTCCAGCTCGTGTGTGAGGTCCACGTCCGTCTCGCTGGTGGGCAGCCAGGCGCAAGCACCTATGGGCTCGGCCAAACTTGAGAGAAGCGAAACCCTTAATCGAAACCCTGCACCCCTGCATCCGAAACCCTAAACCTTACAAAATCTCCACCGAAACCCTAACCCTAAACTCTATAAACCTGAGCCCGTAACCCTAAAACCCAAAGCCCTACACTCACTCACTCACTCACTCACTCACTCACTCACGCACTCACTCACTCACTCACTCACTCACGCGTAAAGGGAGTCCTGTGCCATCATGCACGCAAGAGGCCGAAAAGCGTTCCTGCTGTAGGACCGCGGCCGAGAGACAAATCAACATAAGCTGTACAAAGCGCCACACTCTTAAATCCTAAACCCCAGACCCCTAAAGCCACGAGAGAAGAGCCACTTAACCCTAAACCCTGGGCATCAAAATAGCCCAAAAGCCTTATGTAGTATGGTCCTTGGGCCCAAAAGCCTTAATATATGAGTCCTTAGATGCCTAGGGAAACCCTAATCCCTGCAAGGCGCCCACAGCCCGGGTCATGGAGATTTGGGTCAAAATCGGCCCCGGGGTTGCTGGCAGCCCCACCCAGAGATCCCAATACCCCTCAACTAAGGAATATACCTTAAATCATAAAAATTATTTAGGCATCTATAAACTAAGCTATATTCCTTGATTAAGGAATATGCCTCGAATTATAGTATACATCAACTGGGCTGTGCTTTAGACCCTTTGAATTGTTTTATGAATAGGTTCCCTTTATTAGGAAATACAGGAAATCAAAAAATATCCCAAAGCACAACCCAATTAAGGTATGTTCCGTAATTACCTTAAGCCGGAATAACATACCTTTTTAAGGACTCATATAAGGAAATCATGAGAAGGAGCCTTAAAAAGGTAGGTTATTCAGGGTTAAGGTAAGGGGTATTGGGTTCTCTGAGCATCAACCCTCAGTATCCAAGTGATGTAGGAACAACCTTGGGCCTTTATTTTAGGGTTCCTTTAAAGGGGTCCATGAGGGGTCCTATAAGGGATCTATAAGAGATCTATAAGAGTGCTATAGTAATTATTCAAAGAGTACCAACTTTGGGGGTCTAAAGTCTATAAATGGTACCTACTTGGGAGTTTCCGATAGTTACAGGGTACCTTGTTTTGGGGCTTGGGGTACTTATAATACGTATCCTACTATTATGGGGTACTTTTTTAGGGTCCCCTATTTTCGGAAACTCCCACTTTGGGCTATTTGGAGTCACAGGGCAAGAAGCTTAGGCATCTATAAGCCTTAAGGCTTAGGTTTGGCGATGTAATTCGGGCTTTGTAGTTGACACATCTGTAAGATGCGAGATTTAAGGATTGAGATGTTACTAACATCTAGGGTTTTGGGGCTGCGGCTTGGGGGCTATTTGTGTATTAGAGGTTTGGAAGTTTGGGGTTTGATCGGGGCTTCGTGGTTGAGTTCGGGATGCAACCTCGAAACCATGTGATCTGGAAAAACATGTGTGTCTGGAAGCTTCAAACTTCAAATCTCGGAAAAATTTGGGGGCAAAAAAGACGGTAATATAGAGGCCTTGATAATTAGAACAGGGTTCCTGTAAAGAGATCTGAAAAAGGGTTTCATAAGGGTTACTATAAGGGTGTAGTATAGGGGACATAATAATTAATTGGAATAGGGCTTTGGGGTCCATTATACTATAATCATAAATAATTAAAAAGGGACCCCCAAAGCAGTATAGGTAATTATTAAGGCCCTTATAGTATCGTCAGATGCCTCTTGCACCAATTGCGAGCCGCTGCTTTACATACGGCTTGACAACGGGGTACGGCTTGACAACGGGGCCTTTTGCCCAACAAATTTCGTGATCTACTTTTTCCGCGCCCTATGCTAAACCCTAAGCCCCTAGGCCAGGACCCCCCGTTGGCACTCTATTGTGGTTTCTGTACAAGAACCTACTAATAAACGACACTTGCTTAAAAGCACAAAAGAAGGCACTTAGCAATGATATATGGGGTGGTGTTTATCATACCTGATAAAGCTATTTTCCCAATTATTTACTGACTATGAGATGTTCTACCTGGACGATGCAGAGATGGCGAGCCTTTCTTTCGTCACACCGGCTCGCTTGTCAACGATCGAAGCCATCGCACACATACGTATGCAGCATACCGACTCGCTACTTGTCTTCCTAATTAGGGCTCTATGCTTTATGGTTAAATGCTTAGGCCTCGTGGTTTCAGCTAAGGCCCGCGTTTCGCGGCGAGTCTCAGACTTCGCCGAGGTTGCGCCGGGCTTGCAGACGCAAGCTTCTTCCTCGGAGTTTGCTTTGCCTTGTCAAAGGGCTCCATGGGTGGGAAGAAGGTAGGTGGAGTAATCCCAAACTACGAGTCCTTATATAAGGGATCCTTGATCCTACCTACCTTCTATAAGGGATCCTTAATCCTACCTAGCTTCAACCCACCTTTTGAGACCCCGGACCTTGGCATGTAGGAGGACTCGCATCTGCAGCGCCACCTCCAGCATGGCATCCTGGGTTTTTGTTTAAACAGGCATGATTTAGGGTTTAGGGTTTAGGGTTTAGACCATCGCTTCTTCTAGGAACCTCTATTAGAATGGCATTTCAACTTAGTTCTGTAACAAAAACATAAACCCCCAGCATGCTGACATAATTAGCCCAAAAGATTGGCAACTTAACTTAGTGTACGGGTCGGAAGAAGTACATATGTTAGTCTTTGTGGCACTGTATTATAAGTACACCACACTATACCTGCAAAACCCCAATTGAAACTATCATGGGCCCTCAAACTAAATTCCTCAACCTAAGCTACCGAAATACTAAAACATAAACCCTAATCCCTTTTTTGCTGCATCTGAAAGTAATCTGCCATAATAGCGAATATACCCCCAAACCCTAACCACTACTTGTTCCGAGAGAAGAACCCTTACAAGATCCCTTGAAGGACACCTAAAGATCCCTTCAAGGTACCCTTAAAGGATCCATATAAAATCCTTGAAAGGAAACCCCTTAAAGGACGCCCTACAGATCCTTTAAAGGAACCCTCAAAGGACGCTTTTTAATCTCAAAACCCAAACCTTAAACCCTAAACCTTAAACCCTAAAACCCTAATTAATCCCAAACCCTAAACCCTAAACCCTAAAACCCTAAACCCAAACCCCCCAAACTCCCCCCTTTCAAGAGGCCCCCTAAACCTTAAATCCTAAACCCTAAACCCTAACCCCCGAACTCCCCCCTCTTGAAATCTTGAAAGGCCAGCATCCGGGCTGGAGATCCTCAGTTGCCTCAGCTCGGCCTCGGTGCCCTTCTCCGCCAGGTGCGTCACTGCGTGACGGAAGAGCATCCTTGGATCAGGCTAGGGTTTAGGGTTTAGGGTTTAGGGTAAGAGCATCCTTGGATTCCTAAAAATGTTTGGGGCTAGGGTTTAGGGTTTAGGCCCACAAAACTTTGGGGCTTAGGCTTTAAGGATTTAGGTTTGTACGGCCTGTAAGGCGTGACGGAAGAGCGTCCTTGGATTAGGGGAGGTAGTAAGGGTTCTTAAAGGGCTCCTTAAAGGGATCTATATATAGGCTTCCTTAAAGGGATCTATAGGGCTTAGGGTTTAGGGTACTGCTGACTTAGTAAGTAAGAATATAAGTACCCTAATTGGGGTTATTGGGCTTAGGGTTTAGGGTACTGCTTGGAGGGTCAGGGGACTTAGTAAGTAAGATTATAAGTACCCTAATTGGGGTTATAAGTATAGCTACCTTGTTTATAACCCTAGCTACTAAGTCCCATGACATCCTTGGATTTCCCAGAAATCTTTGGGGCTTAGGGTTCAGGGTTTAAGGTTTAGGGTTTAGGGTAAAAAAACTAAACCCGAACATATGACAAAGCAACTCAATAAACCACAAAAGGAGCCCGAATTCCTAGGTTCCCCCTACACCCCCAAACTCTAAGCCCAAAGCTCTACAGGCCTGAAGCCCCAAACCCTAGAAGCCCTAAAGTTTCAACCCTTCCACCCTATATGGGAGTTTCCGAAAATAGGGGACCCTAATACAGCACCCTAAATAGAAGGATCCTTACTTATTGTAAGGACCCTACAATAAGGTATCCGTAATTTTCGGAAACTCCCATGTAAGCGTTATACCTGCAACCCTAAACTAGAACCCTAAAGCCTACAAGCCCTAAGCCTTCCACCCTCCAACCTCAAACGTCATGGGGATGCCATGATGCTAGTTTTCGTTGAAAACAGTTGTTATTTCAGAGCAGACTCGAGCTTTTACGAGAAACCTTCTGGGCCCAGGAAGCTCTTCCATCACGTCCTACAAGCCGTACAAACCTAAATCGTTAAAGCTTAAGCCCCAAGGATTTTTCGGGAATCCAAGGAAGCTCTTCCATCACGCCCTACAAGCCCTAAACCCAAAACCTTAAAGCCTAAGCCCCAAAGCTTTTTGGGGAATCCAACGGTTGATGATATAAATCCTGCATTACCTTCAGGGCCCTAAACTATGGGAATTTTGGATTATCCTTATTATGGGTAATTCAGGAGTTATATCATCAACAGAAGGATGCTCTTCCGTCACGCCCTGCAAGCCCTAAACCCAAAACCTTAGGTTTAGGGGTTTTCAGGAACCAAAGACCGCAAGAAGGAAAAGAGGTCGCACGGGGAATCGAGCTTCTTCAGGCCGTACCGCTGCGCCTGAAGCAGTCTCGGCAGTGGGAGAAGAGGCATCTCGAGAAGTCTGGCTTCGCATGCTTCTTTCACAAAGTCGACCTTTCAGGGGTTTGGGCTTTGCAGTGTTTAGGGTTAAGGGATGAGCGTATAAGGCTTGGGGTTTGGGATTAGGGTTAAGGTCTTAGGGTTTGGATGGCTTAGGGATTTGGGGCTTCTTCCACAAAGTCCACCTTATAGTAGTCAGAAATGCGCAGCAGTCCCTCTACATTGTCTTCGTTAACATTCGAAGCGGACCATGCGCCGGGCCGCATCATGCTGCAGAAAGCCTAGGTTTAACAATTAGGGTTGGCATTGGCTCTGTGAAATTAATCACAAGCAGGACAGCCCAAACCCTAAACCCCCAAAAAGCAAGGAGGGATACGGCTACTATGAATGACCCGGGAGCCGCGAAGTCAGCAAGAGAAGCCACATCGACCTTGATTCTCTTGTCCTTCGGGGATTCTATACTGAACTTAGAACCCTAGCAAAAAATAGAATTTTAGCTGTTTCTTAGGGATTTTTATAACCAAAAATTTAAAAATATTTCTAAGTACCCCTAAGGTTTAGGGTTGAAGGGGTTCAGAGGTTTAGTTTTTGACGGGTATCGACTTTTTGCGCTGAAGCGCTTGATATAGAAGCCTTGATGACTAGAATAGGGCCTTGGAGCCCAGTATACTATAATTAGTCAAAGCTCGTATATTACAGTAATCCATATAGACACCTCCAAAAGGAACCCTCAAAGGAACCCTCAAGTAATTCGGGGTTGAAGCGTTTACTCCTCAGGTTTTGAGCTTTGGGGTTTGCTCTTGTCCTTGGACTCTCTGAAGCCACTTGTAAGCATGGCATCGAAGACCGGTGAGCTCATGCGCAAGGGCCTGGGTTCTTGTTAAGGGGTTTACTTTAAGTTACCAGAACAGGGATTTATCAGGGTTCCTTTAAGGGATCTGTAAGGGTTCCTCTAAGGGTTTAGAGTTTAAGGTTTAAGTTGCCACAATAAGGATCAATAGCGAAGAATATGATATGGTTTCCTTGTTACGGTTACTCAAAATAAACCCCTTAACAAAAACCCAGGGGCATGCTAGTTGTCTGCAGCGTTTCTCCAGTGGGGAACTCAACTACCAGGTCGTTCCACTCGCTGCAGCACCTGAGGGTTTAAAAGGTTTAAGGGGTAATCTGATTAAGCAATCCTGGGCTGATACCCCCAAAAAAGAAGGTTTCGTAGAAGGAGCCATAATGAAAGCCCAAAGTTTCTAAATCAGGTTCCTACATGAGGGTTTAGCGTTGCACTTGCCAAAAGCAAGTTTCAGAGCTTACAAAAACCTTGGTGGCACTTTGGTCTGCACTTAGCCAGGCGGAAGACTCTCCCAAAAGAAGCTCTAAGCCGCCTTCACATAGGGGCCTCAATAAGCAGATTAGGGATTCGGGGGTATATTGTATACTTATATAGCTACATCAAGGAGCCCTGAGGAATAATGTTGCTAATTACGCAGACTTCTATAGTATGCCCTCATGATTCCGTCTCTACTTGTGGCTTGGCGGGAGGACTAAGGTACAACCGAATCTTACCAAGTAGTAGCCCATCCAAGCATCTTCAAACAAAGCAACCCGTTCTATGTCAAAAAGCTTCACCACAGCCAAAATCTGACACCAGCGACATCGAAGACTCCTGCCCGAACGGGAGGAGGTTGTAGGTTTGCAGCTGGAACTGGGGTGAGATATCAGGGATCCAAGAAGCACCTAAACAGAAGGATCCTAGTTCCGGGGCATAAGGGCGGCTGGCGGAAGACGACATGTGGTATCCTTTTCTTCTTCTCGAGGGGCTTAGGGCCAAAGTGCTTAAGAGATCAGGGTTCAGGAGTTGAGGGTGTGCCGGGTTTGTTGTTTAGGGATGAGGACTTCAGCGCTTGGGGTTTAAGGGTATACCCCTGCCCCACAAAGCCCACCAGCCTAGATCCATCAAAGACCGATAGATTACTTACACCGCCCTACTACCCTCTAACATACCCTACCCACTATTAAGGACCACGGGGGTTCCATTGAAGGGCCATCAGGGATAGGGATTTATGCAAACGTTGATGCGGGCATGTCACATATCGATGGTCGGCTCTTCCAGGATCTGGGTTTCCAGCTGGCTCGGATCAACCACTCCAGTTTCGGGATTGGTCCTGGGCTAGGGGTGATTTCGGATATAGGAATAGTACGTTACACAGGCTTGTGGCACCTTTAATTCTCAGGAAGCTGGTTTGAAGGACTTCCGGCCCCACCTCTCGGGACGGTTCTTGAGCTTTCTTCGCATGATTGATCTCGCCGATTTGATCTGGATGCAGTGGATCTTATCCGCCTTGGCTACTTAGCATGATGCATGACCTCAGAACGCAACGTGTTGAAGTTTAGCGGCTTCAGCTTTCACCCAGCCTTCAAGGTCGCCATTCGAAGGACCTAAGCTGTTAACTGTTTTGGAAAGCATGCCCATAAGCATCATCGTCATCATCTAGATAGCACTAGGACCCACACGGAGTCTCTTCAGGAAGACCAGACACCCCACTAGTGTCCGCATTCTCCCTTCTCTCAAGCACCGACCCTTCCCAGCATCCTCGACAGCTTCATAAGCCCATCGATTTCGCTTCGTACGAAGATCACCGCCCGGCAGAAGCTCGTCATTCTGCTCGATGATAGCGACATCGGGCAGCTTCTTCATCATGTGCTTAAGAAGCCGCCTCATGCTGATAGTCCTACTTCTGCATATATGCTCACGAACATACGACATGATTTTTTAAGCCTGGGCACTTGCCGTGGCCGCCCAACTTCTTTCGGGCTGCAGCACATGACTTCTCATTATCGAAGACGAATTTGGGCGCCATGGCGCACAAAGTAAGACCCCCGAAACTGTGGATCAAGTATATGCATACGCTGCATACCTGCAATGTATCCCAGCCTATCCTTTAAGGTCCTGCATGCTGCTTACCATGCCCATGCTTTCCGAGCAGCCTGGCAGGCGGAAGCGAACATCCGGGAGTTCCTCATCGATCACCACGATCATCTTATGCTATTATTATCTTAGCCTGATTAAGATTTCCAAAGCACCTAAGAATAGCAACCACCAGGCATATCTTTCTAGCTAGACCCCTACCTAGGATTTCCTCCACCCAAAAGAAGTCACTTATGCTTATGACGGGGATAACCCTTTAGAAGCACAAAAGCAGGATTTATTTTATTTACGGTTTGGATACACATATTGACACGATTGATGGATACACACCCAAACGAGATAGGATTGAGAGGTATGGGTTTCAATACGATTTGGATACACTTGAAACAGTCGTGTCAGTAGTGCAATGCACCGATACGCATGTCAAGACGTTCTGGCATTGGCCTTGGTTGACCTGAATGGCCTCAGACTTGCCCGACCGTTCCTGCACTTTCGCTTGTTGATGGCTTCGCACGTACAGTCGTACAGTGTACTGTACAGGCAGGGCTCGGCAAAGCCTGAGAGGATTGAGAGGAGTGGAAGCTCACATTTCGCTATCTCGCATGGCTATAGTGCCGCACGGTGGGGTGGGGCTGGGCTGGGGGGGTGGGTGGGGTGGGGTGGGGTGGGGTGGGGTGGGGTGGGGTGGGGTGGGGTGGGGGGGTGGGGTGGGGTGGGGTGGGGTGGGGTGGGGTGGGGTGGGGTGGGGTGGGGTGGGGTGGGGTGGGGTGGGCAGGGTGGGGCGGTGGGGCAGGGCGCGGGGAGTGCCTCCCACAAAGTGTATCGGGTCAGCCGGGCAATCCCGAAATCGTATCGAAAATCGTATCGCCAAATCGTATCGGCTGGAACCCTCCTTTAGTCTATTTGTAGTCTTCCAGCGATACGATTTTCGATACGATTTGGGGGTTCCCTCCTTTGGACCGATACGGTTTCCGATACGACTCTGGAGCACCCTCCGCCAGACCGATACGATTTTCGATACGACTCCGGCACACCATCCGCCAAACCGATACGATGACACCCTCGCCGGACCGATACGATTTCTGATACGACTCCTGCGCAACCCCGCTCCACCAGTACGACAGCCGACCCTGCGACTAAGCAGCCGGAGCAGGCTTGTCTGCCACTGCAGAGTTGAAACGTCTTGGACTAAACCCACTAGCTGCTGACTAGGTGACTAGCTTGACCAAGCTCAGACCCCAGACTTTGGAGTCGCTGAACTGTGCTGCGCTTGCCCGACCTACTACACGCAAGATCTGGGAGCCGCCAAGAGAATGCGTATGGGAAAGCGTTCACTGCCACTGCGCACCAACAAAAGGCACCCAAATGTGGATCCATGTATTCAAACCGAAAAACGTATCTGCCGATGGTATCGACTCAGCCGGTGTATCTACCGATTGTATTGAAATCGTATCGGAAACTGTAACGAAAAAATATTCATGTATGTGTCTGTTGTCTACACTTATTACATCTTAAACTTATGCTTCAAAACCCCTCCATTTGAGGGCACTTAGAACAAGTGTCTTCTATTAGAGGGCACTTAGATCCCACAATTCTGGCCCAAAGCATATCGCTATCCCAGAATGCAAAACAAGGCACTTAAGCAGCCAAGTGCCAACAATGATAAGTCATAGCCTAGTGCTAACGAATAGAAGGACATTGGGGGGTCTAGGGGGGTTCCGTCTAAGGTTTGTTTCGGGGCTCCTTTACAGGAAATTCACTCCTTATGGACCCTGATCGAAGCTCACAGTATTTTTAAAGGGGGAAGTCCAATATAGAACCCGATAGCACCTAAAAGGTAAGCCTACAATAGAACCGGTTCCCTTAAACAAGGGTTCCCTGAAGGGGAAACCGCTGTCCTTTGGGACCTGTTCTGGCTGAGAGTTTAACTCTGAGTGCTATTGGGCCTTCCCTCCCCCCCCGCCCCACATGCCGTGGTTTCAGGTTTAGGATTTTAGGGTTTTCGGGTTAGGTTTGGGATTTGAGTGTGCGTTTGGCGCCTCGGATTCAGAACTTAGGTTTACAACTATCAGGGTTGAGGATTTAGGGTTTGGGTGTTAAGCATCCCAGACTTCCACTTCCATAGATCTCTTGCTTGCGGCCCAGCGATGCCTCTCATAGTTCGAATTCCTTGCACCCACGTCAGAAATGAACAGACCCTTCATGCAGCCTTGAATGAGAGAGGGTATATGGTCCCTGATAATAGGTCTGTAAGGTCTACAGTAATTAGGGGGTAGATGGAGTGTCTAGGAGATAACTTGATGAGCCTTACTGTAACCCTTAACGCTAAACTCTAAGCCCATCACAAAAGAACAGCCGCCGTTGGCACCTCCGCCGAGGAAGGGAAGCTCGCGCGTCGTGCTGCGTTCCGGCCTTCAGATTTGGTGCGTAGATTCAAGGTTAGGGTTCGGGGTGTAGAATCGGGACCCGGATGTAGTTATGTTCAATAAAACCGTGATTTTTACAAAAATGATTTCTGGAAAGACCCTTTTCCTGAGGTTGATATTTGATATCTATTTGCTGGCTTTGGCGCTAGGCCCGCTGCATCCAGCTAGTCAAGAGTTTTGCCTCAAACAGGCGCTGTGACAGTGGCATGCTGGCCCGGAGGCAGGACTCTCTTTCCTGCTTCCAGAGTCTGTACAGAAATTTGCCTTCCGGAGTCAAACTTGCCTTCCGGAGTCCTGACACAAACTAAATGCTGGAGAGGGTGAGCCAAAAATGCCCAGCCCGAACCCTAAACCCTCTAAGGCGAGCCACAGATGCCCGGAGACAGAAACAGGGTCTCCAACCCTGCTTTTGAGCACAGGCTCTCACCCGCCTCAAGCCTGAAGGAAGGCCTCAGTTTCAATTCAAGGAGCCCCACTTACGTAGAGGATCATGGGACTTAATAAGTAGGTTATAATTGGGGTTATAAGTCCCCTAAGTGGGGTTATCCTAATTATAACCTACTTATAACCTTACTTACTAAGTCCCATGAGCCTTCAAGTAAAGGATCATGGGACTGCGACTGGACTGAGTAGGACGGGCTATATAAGGTAATTATACGTGTGCCCCACTTAAAGGATCATTGGACTTTGCAAGTAGGGTTATATTAAGGTAATTATGGTTGTAGAAAATACTTAATTGCTGATAATCCCGATTCGGGGACGTATAACCATAACTTGCTAAGTGCCCTACTCCTACAGGTACCTCTTTGGAGCCATGCATGGGGGACTTTATTCGTTCCCGAAGTGCTACCAAGAGGCCTGTCGCCCATCCACCCTGACAACTGCCCCAACGAGCTCTTGTTGACTAGGGGGAGCGGGGGCATCAGTCAGAGGCGCCGTAAGGGGCATCCCCTCGACAAAGCCCACCTGCAATGCCTCCTGCATAGCAGCGCACGGTATGCAAAAGCACCATACACACGCATCCTCCGTGAGAGTGCAACAATTGCCGTGGTTCAAATTGAACTTCTTGCGCAGGTGCTGACGATGCCATACCTGGATGCATTTCTCAACCAACAGGAGCGGAAGCGACAGTACTGGTAGAATGCCCAGAAACACTGCCATCACGTTGGCAATGCCATAGCAGAGACAGAAGCCGGCCCAAAGGATTGTTAGCTGCCAGAATGCCCACCCCCAAAAATTGCTTTTGGGTGAGCTGGCTGTGGCGGACCAAAGGGCGAAGGGGCACCAAATTGCCCAGCATGAGGTCTCGCAGTGGTGACAACATTCGCAGAGACCAAACGCGAAGGTATTCTCTGAGAAAGTGTCGCTTGACTGCTGCCGCATCTCAGTGGGCAATGGTGTGGCTTTCCGGCAATTGAGGTAGAGCATACCACCAAAGAGGACATACATACCGATGGCGCAGCTTCGTGCCATCATCGAAGTCATTGAGAAGAACAAGGTGATCTGGCAGTCATTGAGAAGAACAAGGTGATCTGGCGCTCGCGGCGTTCTTCATCCATGCTTTCCTCCACCATGGGGTGCAGAGGGTCTGAATGCCAATCAGGTGTCCGCAAGTGATGCACTCCTCCATCTCCACATGTGCCCGGCAAGGTGACCAGCCACAGGAGGGCGGCATAGCGCACGAGCCTGTCTACCGCCATCTTCTTGGGCAGTGGAAGCTGGAACCTCAACGCCTCTTGACCATAGGTTTGTTAAAAGCATAGGTGGCATAGGTTTTAAGGCTTGAGGTTTTTGCAATAACTGTTTTTGTTTGACACCATGCTTCAAAACAAGCGGCCCCAACAGTGCATGATATGGATCATCCTGGAGGTTCCTGCAATATATGCCTCTTGGCCAAAGCTGACAGTCACCCTTTTCTGCCCTTACAGGCACCCTTAAAGTGAACATGACATGAGAACAACCTTAACCCTAAAGACTTTAAACTCTAAACCCTAAAGCCTAAACCCTGAACCGCTGAATCTGTAATCTTCATCGCTTTGCTACTTTGGAGGCTTCACTCCGAGTCCTTCAGACAAAAGCCGGGCTCCCAGCGCGGCGATCTGTATACTAAATCCCTCTTATAGCCCTTTTTCCTTTCGTCTTCCTTTTTTTGGTTAACCAAAACCTCTATTCTAGGATCCCAACCATAAAACTGGTTAACCAACAGAAGGAACTACAATGGAGACTCTAGGTGTAATTTTAAGTTGCCTTCATAGGGATCTGTAAGGGCTCCTTTAAGGTATCTATTCGGGTTGCTTTAAGGGTAATACCCTCTTATAGCCCTCAAAGTAGTCCCTACGGCTGATGATACAAATCCTGCAGTACCCATAATTAGGAATATACCATTATTCCCATAGTTTAGGGTCCTTAAGGTAATGCAGGATTTAAATCATGAACCCTAAACCCTAAGGATCTCTTAAAGGAATCCCCTAAAGGTACCCTTATAGATCCCTTTAAAGGAACCCTAGGATTTATATCATCAACCGTATGGGTATAACTATTTCATTGGAGGCTCAGGGCTCCCGGCGCCGTGATCTGGTATGGGTTCACCCAGTCCAGGAGCGGTTTGATGTAGCCTGATGTAGGGTTTAGGGTTTCGGGTTTGAGGTTTAGGGTTTCGGGTTTGAGGTTTAGGGTTTCGGGTTTGAGGTTTAGGGTTTCGGGTTTGAGGTTTAGGGTTTCGGGTTTGAGGTTTAGGTTTAGGGTTTAAGGTTTAGGGTTTAAGATCTCAGAGAAAGCGGAAGCAGCAGCAACGCAACACTAACGCCAGCGGCAGGAACATCACCGGGAGGCTTGTTGGTCTGCAGTCTCCAGTGTTCTGTCTCCTTCTTAGTAGGGACTGGGGGGAATGGGTTATAGGGACTACTATAGGGACTACTATAAGGATCCATTCCCCATTCCCTACTAAGAACCAGACCCTTGCAGTACCCTTATAGATACCTAGAAACCCTTTAGATCCCTTTAAGGGAGCCTAACTTCCCTCATTCCCTACTAAGAACCAGACAGTGTTGTGAAGGATGAATCCTCTTCGGGCTGGAGCCGAAGTGCTGTGCGGCTCTGCACCGAATCCCTTCCAAAGGGTGTAGGGTTTAGGGGTTTAGGGCTTTAAAGGGAACTCCAGAAAGTTGGAATATGGTTTCAGGGTAGGATACCTTATAATTTACCATACAGGGTTTAGGATAATCATATTCCAACTTTCTGGCTTTTACTTTAAGGGTTTGGGCTTGAGGGTTCCCTCTGTGCCCGGAGAGTCGCCCGCTCGGAGTTCAGGGGAAAATGATAGATCCCGCCTCTGAAATGAGTATACTTCTTCTCTGCTTGGTATCCATGCATCTCACAGAATGATGCACAGCGTATCGCAGCAAATTATTGCCACCAGCAGTGAAAATGCCGCTGAGATTGAGTTCTGAAGGAGCCCTGGCGAATGTCACTCTTCAGGACCCCTAAGCCCTAATTAAGCCCCAAGTCCTGAACACCCTAAACCCTAAACCCTAAACCACCCTGAACCGTAAACCCTAAACCCTAAGCCACCCTGAACTCTAAAGGCTCTAAATCCGATGCATATGAGCTGCCACCAAATATCCACGCAAGCTTCAAGTCGGCTCTTGCAGTCCACGAATTCCCCAAAACCAAACCTGGACCCCAACGGTTGAGGGCTTAGGGCCGTTTAGGGCTTACGTTTTTCGGGTACCTTAATTACTATGAATTCCCTTAGACAAACCCTTAAAAAGTAAGTTCTTGAGGGGCTCGGTAAACCCTATGAGCGTCCCAGCCGATCCCAGCCGAGGGCCTGTGTGCCCTACGCGGCTGTGTGAGATTTGCGTCTCGGCTTCTTGTAGCTCCTCGGCATTCTCCTCCTGCTCGCGGGACTCTGCAAAAGCAAAGGAAGCCAGAGCTGAAGTCACAAACAAAACTCACCTTTTCTGGGTCCGCATCATGACATCCTTGTTATTCTGTGCGTCCCTACAAACGTCGGTTTGTCGGTTCAGGCACACCTTGTTACTTCAAGGAAGCCGCTTATGCCCTGCAGCGAAAAATTATGTAGTGTTAGGGCTTCCTTGATTGAGAGCTCTCCAAAGCAGGACCAGGCACCAAAAAGGAAGACCCAATGGGTAATGTAAGGGCCTTAATAATTGGAATAGTGTTTTGGCGGCTCCTTATTACAATTATGGTATAACATAACACCCCAAAGCCAAAACCCTATTCCAACGATGACCGCCCCTGCATTATTGCTAAAGTCCTGCCTGAACCCCGAATAACCTACCTCTTAAGAACCATAATAGGGAACCCTTAAAGGAAGGTTCTGCAGTGTCCAGGGAGGCCCAAAGCAGTAACCCCAAGTCCTATCCCCGCACCCTAAGCCCTAAGCTCCTATTCCCACTTCTCCTCGTTATCGTCCTCGTCCCCCATCCCTGAACGCATAAAACCCAAACCGGCCCGAAACCCTAAAGCCTAAAGCCTTAAGCCCCAAAACCCTATTCCTGTTTTCTCCTCGTTCTCTTCGTCGTCCTCACCGACTCGCGGCTGGCGGATTCGAAGCTGGTCGATGATGGCAGATCCCCGATTGTTCCAGGCACCCTGCACTTGAGGGGCTTAGCGGATTTAGGGGTTTAGGGGGTGAGGGGTTAGGGGCTTAGGGGTTTAGGGGTTTATTGGGTTTAGGGGTTTCTGGTCTAGGCTTTAAGACCTATGATTTGCGGTTTTACGGTTTAGGGGTGTAGGACCTTCAAGGTTTAGGGTTTAGCTGCGGCTTCAGGCCTTGTGGGTTTAGGGTCCGGGGCGCATCTCAATGATTGACCACGATGCTAGTTGGTCGGAGCAGGAGCTCTCTTGAGAGATGTTCAGAAGTTTTGAATAGTTTGTCGCCACAAAAACATGTTTTCAAGAGACTGTTGAGCCCGTACCACTTGTCTCACATACTTCGTGGATGCTTCCAACACTGCATGCACCACGCCGCGAATACCAAAAATGTCCCTGGCACTGTGGAGCGTGCAACCAGAGCCTGGCAGCACAGCCTGTTGAACAGTTGACAATCTCCCTGAACCCTATAGAACCGCATTTATCACGCTTGCGGCAAACTGTAATAACATCAGCAACCCTTGACATAACCAGCAGCCTTGCGTTGATATGGTAACCCAATCACATAGTACAGTGAGCCCTGTTGTACCCTGAATGCTTAAGCCTGTAATTAAGCCCAAAGCCCAACAAGCCCGAAAGCCTAAACCCTGCAAGCCAAGAACCCTGTAATCAAACCTAAACCCCAAACCCCCTACGCCCTACAAGCCCTAAACCCTGAATTTTTGTAAGCCCTAAATGCTACAGAGTTGAAGCCTGAACTCTAACGACTATAGAATGCCCTCTGCTGCGCCTCGATCTGACATTCACTGAGGGGAGCGCGGCGTAGAACCTGCCGAGGCAACAAGGCCGAAGGTACGAGCAGTCGGACTTGCACTCAGTTCAGGCTCAGAGTGTGCTGCAAACTGCGACAAACAGAGGGAGCGAGAGAGAGAGAGAGAGAGAGAGAGAGAGAGAGAGCGAGAGAGAGAGAGAGAGGGAGACGGAGAGGGAGAGAGCTCTTTCGGCGTGAGAGAAAGACCAAATCCCATAAATAGAGAAGGCACGACTTCTCTGCATCGGCTGCCTGTACTCAATGACTATCGGACCACGGCTGGAAATGCGATAGCGCACTGGCACTGCGACATTGCAAGGGCCTTTAGCACTGTAGCTTTAATTGTCACGAATGACGATGGGGTGGCCTTAATGATTAGACCGGGCTTTGTGGTTACATTATGGTATGCTTGTAAGTAAGGATTTCCAAGGAACTTTGTCATGATTCAGGCGTCCGTATCACCACCACGATCCGGCCTCCCGTTGCAAGGATCGCGACCGAGCATTTGTGTCCACACCGATGGAGGTCAAGTACCTGCAGTTCTGGGGTTTCGGTTTAGGCTTAAGGGCCTGGCAAGTTTGCTCGTGTAAATCTGTGTGCTTATTCATGTAGGGTTTAGGGTTTAGGGTTTAGGGTTTCATTCACTGACATTGCTCACTTGATTGTACGTCGTATAGGAACCCTGAACCCTCAACCCCGAACCGAGGGCCACTGGCGTTCATCGCTTGCTTCTTTCTTCGATAACTGGGCCCAAGAAAGTTCAAGCTTATTCTTCTGCTATTGTCCATCAAAGATAATTGTAGTATGTTACTAAATCCCAATAAACCTAAACCCTAATCCCTAGAAGCCCTAAAACCCCTATAAACCTTGAGCCTTACCCTCAACCCTAACCCTATATTCCGATCACTACATATAAATCTCTCTTCCTCAACAACCAGGCCCAAAAAGGTTCAAACTTTCTCAAACAGAGCTAATTTATAAGGCCGACAGCTTAAACTTTCTAAGAAACTAGATACCCAGTAACCTAAGAATAAAAAGGCCTCTCTTTTTGGTATTGGGTAACTTTATAAGGAACCTAGGACTAGAACAAGGGAATAAGGGTACTACTGGGCATCCTAGGAAATAAAGCCTTTCAGCCCAGGGCTTCTCTACTTGGAGGATCAGGGGACTTAGCAAGTAAGGATATAAGTCCCCTAATTGGGGTTATAAGTAATTATAAGTATAGTTACCTTATTTATAACCCTAGTTACTAAGTCCCATGATCTTTTAAGTAGATGTCGGCCGGGGGCCTCTCCGCATAGGCCTCTCGAAGTTGGCGGACGCACTCCTCACGCCGGGGGATCTTCTTGGCCTCGCGGAGGGAAGCTTAGGGTTGAAGGGCCTAGCGGGGATTTGGGGGGTTTACGGGTTTAAGGGGATACTTAAAATCTATAGGGCTTAATGGTCCAGGATTCAAGCTTTACACGGATCCTATAATTTTGGGGTAAAACGGCCAGGGTTTCCTAGCCAGGTTCCGACACTTTCAGTAGGTTCTGCTACAAAGATGCTCTCGGTGGAGGCCAAAAAAAGCACTTGGTGCCTTTCCCTAAGGGTCCATGTACTCATATAGTATAGACATTGGCCTTAAAGTACTCCCTATATGGGTACATTGGGCCCAAAGTATATGCTGTACGGGTACATGGACCCTTATAACCCCAGTTAGGGGACTTATAACCTTACTTTACTAAGTCCCCTGATCCTCCAAGTAGGGTTTGGCCTGCGTGCTATTGAAGCTCCAGACTTCCCTAGGCGCTAGTGAAAATGCTGACTGTTGAAAATCTGCCATTTAGGGTTGAAGTTCAGGGGTACTTCGTTGGGGTCCTTATAATAAGGATCCTACTATTTAGGGTACTGTATTAGGGTCCTTTGTTCTTGGAAACTCCCATTTGTGGTTGAGGATGTAGGGTTGAGGGTTCAGGGATACTCTTGCAATACGAACGAATGTAGAGGCCTTCATAATTAGAATAGGATTTTGCGGGGTTCCTTAATACAATTACAGTACAACCTACACCCCCAAAAGCCTATTCTAACTACTAAGGCCACTACATTGCCGGGACATCTTGAGTAGCTGCGAGTCGGGGTCTGGGTTTGGCGTCTTCTCGATTGATCCTTTACAGTGCGATTCAGTTAGGTCATGCAGGATTTTGGGCATCCGCAGTCGTATGCCCTTGTAGCCCCTGGTACAACACCCCCCCTACACCAAAAACAAAACGATTCAAACTATCTATGTGCTATGGGTCTTTTTTATCTTTCTATCAGAGAAGGGTTTTGGGGCCCATTATACTGTACTTGTAATAAAAAATTATACGATAATAAGGACCCCCCCCAAACAAACAAATAGTACAGGTCATAACAATTAGGGCCCCTATGTTACCCTAAGGCTCCATGTACCCATATAGTATATACTTGGGCCTTGAAGTACCTATATAGGGACCCCTTTCAAGGCTCAGGTATCTTCTATAAACTGGGCTTTTAAATAACCAGGGAGAAAAAAGTATAGACTTGTATTTCATAATGGTTCCTTTAAGAAAAAAGTATTAAAGTAAGGAACTCCAAAGCCCAGTAAAGTTACATGGAGCCTTTGGGTTAGGCCCCTACTTGAAGGCTCATGGGGCTTAGTAAATAAGGTTATAAGTAGGTTATAACTAGGATAACCCCACTTAGGGGACTTACAACCCCAATTATAACCTAATTACTAAGTCCCATGATCCTCTAAGTAGTACCCTAAACCCTAAACCCCATAGATCCCTTTAAGGAACCCTATAGATCCCTTTAAGAAGCCCTTTAAAAACCCTTACTAAGTCCCATGATCCTCTAAGTAAGCCACTCGATTCAGAGGAGCCTCCTCGAGATGAACGAGTGAGATCTCGATGTCCGCCATGGCTCGAGATCGCAAGTTGCATCACTCCTTTAAGGGTCTCTTTTAAGGGATCCTTTAAGGGATCTATAGGGTTTAAGGTTTAGCGGTTTAGGTTAGGGGTAGCGGTAGGGGTTAAGGGTTGAGGGGTTTTAGAGGGTAGGGGTTTTGGGTTTCGGGACGGCTCTTCGGCGGAGGGCGCTGGAAGGACTGTAAAGAAGTTGTCAAGTCTACAGCTGCAGTGTCTTCAGGGTTTAGGGATTAGGGCCAAGCCTGAGATATGCACAGTTCGTCTGGCGAAGATAAACATGAGCTTGTTGCCCCTACAACTTCTGGACAAACCTTCCTGTCTTCTGGTGAGCACTACAACTCCGCATGGCCGGCTGCCGTACAGGAGCAAGCCGTTTAACTTCTGCGTTAAACTTGAGCCTGGGAGGCCCTTGAAAAGCAAACTACAAGCGACAGCAGTAGCCATGGCTTTACCATGGGCTGCTGAAGTCGTGAGGAAAAGCTTGCAAACCGATCGGCGAAGCCGGGATCGGGTCATTACAGGAGCCGAAGTGTTTCAAGTCATGCCCTGCGTGAGAAGATTACAGTTCAGGCTGTGGGGCTTACAGGGGTTTATGCCTGTGCTGCAGTCCTTTCAGGATTAACCGAGGTCAGCATTTGATTACCATGCTACTTACTTCGGCTCCTGTATGTCATTCGCTATCCATTTGGCGGCCGAGCTTGTGCGGGCGGTTTGTCGGCTCCGCTTTGGTGTTCGCTGGCCGCAACCATCGTGATACGTCCACAGCAGTGTATTCGTAGCCCTTCTTCTCAAGCCATGCTACCTCAGAAAATCTGAGGGCACGAATATGGACCCAGATAATAGTAGATTGCTTTTCACAAGTCCATTTGGTACCTCAAGCCTCTCAACTTTCGAAACCCTAAACTCTCAACCCTAAAGTTGAAGAAAACCATGCCACCTCCGCCTTCTGCGAAATTCCCAAGCCATCGGAGTCCTCGAGAAATCTCCGGTCGACGGCTGGAAGCCACTGAAGGAACAAACGGTACTTCTCCTTGGTAGGAAGCTGGGTGGCGTTTGAGGGGATAGTATCTTATATCCAAAGTACTTAGAGGATCATGGGACTTCGTAAGTAGGTTATAATTGGGGTTATAAGTCCCCTAAGTGGGGTTATCCTAATCATAACATACTTATAACCTTATACTTACTAAGTCCCATGAGCCTTCAAGTAAGGAACCCTAAGGATGAATTATTTAGGCGTCTCTATTGGGCGCAGTTGTCCAGTATCATACGGGAAAGCTAATCTCTGGCACATACGGATTTTAATACACCACAAAGGTTAAAGGTTTTCTACTCTACTACTGAGTCTCCCTGCTGTACTGAGAAGACGAGTCGTAGCGCGTCTTGCGCCTCAAGTTCTTGAGACCTGCTTCCTTGGCACGTCGGAAATGGTCGCACTTTTTGAAGTCGCTCATCTTTTTGAGCAGGGCCTCTCTCTGCAGGTTTTCTTGGCCTGCCGTCTCGAAGCTTGCCACTTTCCCCTTGCCGAGGGCTCCTTCAAAGAAGTAGACCTGGAGTTCCGCACGACGCTGCACCGCAGTTTCCACGTTCTGTATCCACGAGGCCCACCAACGGCAACCCCATGGTTTCTCCTCTCCATAGAGGGGCATGCACCAGCAGCGGCCATCTATCCCTTCGCGTCTGGGAATGGGGCTGTGCTTCCCGAAATTCTTGTCGCCCTCTGGCAGAAATACCACCGCCGCGCTCGTCTGCCCCTGGGCACTGGCCATCAAGTGATCCCAGGCTGTTGCGTATTTCCCCGGCCAGGAGACGACACAGGCTTCACCGCGCCTGAAACTGGAGAGACAAAGCAAATCTCTAAATTCTGATGCTCAAGAACTGGGGGGAGATACTGTAGCTATTATTTACATAGATAGGGGTCCATGCACGCAAATAGTATGCACTTTGGCCCACATGCTTTAAGACGTAATGCAACTTATTTGGGCACATGGAGCCTCAGGGAAAACTCGTGGCTTAGGGGTCTTCTGACCTAGTCTATACTGAACTTAGAACCCTAGCAACAATTATAATTTTAGCTGTTTCTTCGGGATTATAAAAACCCAAAAATTAAAAATTATTTCTAGGTACCCCTAAGTAGTGCTGTGCATGGGCTCGTGGCGCACGGCACCCTCAAAGACGATGCTTCTCCTCCGAGCACGGGCCGCGCCCACTGCAAGGGTCGCCTCGACCGCTTTGGGTTTAGGGGTTAGGGTTTAGGGTAGGGATCTACACAGGGTTCCTTAAGGGAATCTATATAGGGTTCCTTAAAGGGATCTATAGGGTTTAGGGTTTAGGGTCTACTTGGAGGATCATGGGACTTAGTAAGGGTTCTTAATGGGGTTATAAGTAATTATAAGTATAGTTACCTTATTTATAACCCGAATTACTAAGTCCCATGATCCTTTAAGTATGGGATGGGGGTTTAGGATTGAGGGTTTAGGCTAAAATGGGTTTAGGGTTCAGGGTCTACATAAGGTTTAGGATTTAGGATTTTGAGTTTAGGGCCTCGCCCAAGCCATCGGCGAAGCCATGACGCGCCAGCATTCCTATCGCGGGGCCAACGGCGAGAGTCAGTAGGAGGGTGTGGCCCAACATCATAAAGCCAACGATGAGCCCAACGAGCCATGTGAAAGTGAGGCAAGTAAGCGTACAAAACATATCCTTAGATTTGAAGTAACCAGGGGGAAAAAAGCATCTACTCTTATTTCATAATAGTCCCCTTTAATTACAAGTACCAGGTCCCGAAAAAGTATGAAAGTATGCTACTCCAAAGCCGAGGATCGATCCGACTCGACGGGCAAAGCCTGTCAGCCCAGGAGATGCCAAACGACAGCAAAAAGCTGCCAAGCGCAGCTGCCCCGGTTTGGAACAACCTATACTGAACTTATAACCCTAGCAACAATGTTAATTTTAGCTGTTTCTTAGGGGTTATAATGACCGAAAACTAAAAGTTATTTCTAAGTGCCCCTAAGCAACTTCCAGAAGTGGAGTGCAAAAGAATCTTCCAGCATCGACAGGAGCACCGAGCACAGGAAATAACTGACAAAAAGCAGTGTACCGCGAAGTCGTGGCTTGTAAGCCCCAGCCAATCTTTGCTTCAGCAACTGCTCCCTTCGTCGCCCCTCCTCTTCGTTAAAGGCTTCTCTCCAGGACACTCTTTGTACTCTAAATTCTGGATCTACAGCGTTTTGGGGCTGAGTTTGAGGAAATACGGGTTTACTATGAAGGGATAACTTCATGAACCCTGGACTCCAAAAAGCCTTCGTTAAGGAGTATGTAGGTACCCTCTGTAATATGATTTCAGGTTTAAGGAATAGTCCATGCGCCATAGTGGGTACCCTAATATGATTTAAGGTGTATTCCTTACTTAAGGGCTTTTGGCTTTTGGAGTCCCTTGGTCATGAAGCTTCCTCAGAGACACGAGTCGGTTCAACACGCTACTGTCCTACTTGAGGGAACATGGGATATACTCTGAAAACTACGCGCAGCCCAACCAAGGTACTTTCGACCTGGCATACTAAGTCCCTGATCTGCGCGTTCATCCAAATACGAGTAAGGAAGTTCATAACCGGGCAAGAGCCTTCTCCAGCATTGAAATACTTTTGCAACCTCCGACTGAAAGTCCTCTCTAATAGCACCGAAAGGCCTTAAAAGAGCTCTTAGGTGCGAGTCTTGAGAGGACTGAATAGTTACCAATCCTGCCCCTGACGATTCGCATTTTGATATTTCCAGCATAAAGAGTCCCAACACCTTATGCTAATCCAGGCCCGATAGTAAACTCCGGCACGTCCTCCTCTTCTCTCTGGATGGCCAGTTCCTCCACCTGGGTGGTTGTCAAAATGAATGCCCCTTTTTGGGTCCTTAATACAATACGGCACCCATTATTTAGGCTACCAGAAAAGGGACCCTAATTTTGACAACCACCCACCTCCAGCTGCTGTTTGGCTCTCGTGCCGAAGTCTTTCAATTCCGAGGCCCTCACCTGCGGTCGGAGCCCTAATTACCCAGACACTAGGAAACCTACCCTTCCCGGGTTCCTCATTATGATGTCGTGATAGAAACCCTTGAAAAGGAAACTATTTGGGGTGAAAGTAACGCTGCACCCCAAACCAAGAGGCTTTAAGAATTGGCTCTCGGCCTGGAAGGGCTTAGGGATTTCCGGCCTTGGGGGTTTTGGGGGTTAGGGTTTAGTTTGGGATTTCTAGTCGTGTCGACGTAGCAAATTCCACAAAATTCTTCAACACGAAGTTGCAGCTTGGCGGACAAGTTGGACAGCAACAGAAATGACTTCAGTTTGTCTGCACCTCCACGGACATATCAACTGCACATCACTCCAGCTAGGGCCGAACTGACGGCGCCTCAGCTTTATGACGCAGGGTTTTGGTTTAGGGTTCGGGGGGGTGGCAGCGATGTCCTAAAATCTCGCCATTACGGCGAGACACGCAACGAGCTTCTGGTAGCGTGGCCCGTGGAGTCGTCAGCTCGGACTTCTGCATACAACGTGCACTTAACCTCAAGGCTAAAGCTAAACCGGACCCTGTAACATAGGGGCTTTAAGAATTAGAATAGGGGAGCCCATCATATACTTATAATACGGACCCCCCCCCCCCCCAACAAAAAAAAAAAAGTATTGGTAATTCCTTAGGCCCCTATACTAAACCCCCCATAAAAGCCCTTATGGTATTCCTTATAGACCCCTTTAAAAGGAACCCTTAAAGGAACCCTTGGGTAATTCTTAAGGCCCCTACTTGGAGGGGCAGGGGACTTAGTAAGTAGGTTGTCAGTAGAGTTATAAGTATCCTAAATCGAGTTTCCCCAACTATAACTCTACTTATAACCTACTTACTAAGTCCCCTGGCCCTCCAAGTAGACCCTAAACCCTAAACCCCACAGATCCTTTAAGGAACCCTATAGATCCCTTTAAGGAGCCCTTTAAGAACCCTTACTAAGTCCCCTGGTCTTCAACCTTTGCTGGATATTCGAGGTTCGGGGTATATGTACATTGGGAAGTATAACGGGATAGTTTGAGTTAGGATCCTGTACGAACATCCGAAACCGTGGCCTCTAAACCCTAAAACTTGAACCCCACACTCTAAACCCAAGAACCCTAATAGAGGGGCCTAAAACATATATGATATACAGCCTTATGTATAGTAACCCGTATCGAACCCTTTTAAAGGACTCCCACGCCACCTCCGGGTGGGTGTTCCGCACAGTCGTCATCACGGCCGGGTCATCCTCACGTAGCCGGAGTTGGAACTCCAGACCCACCTCTGGAGGTCGCGAGACTTTGGGGGTTCCTTTAAAGGGATCTATAAGGGTTCCTTTGAGGGTTCTTTAAAGGGATCTATAAGGGGTCCTTCGAGGGTTCTTTAAAGGGATCTGTAGGGTTTCGGGTTTTGGGGTATGGGAGTTTCCGAAAATTAGTCGTACCGAATTTGGGTGGTCCTTATAATAAGGATCCTACTATGTAGGGTGCTATGTTAGAGTCCCCCCATTTGCGGAAACCCCCGTATATCTTCGGTCTGCCCACATACAGTAACAGTCTATAATAAGGCTACATAGACTATTAAGGTCCTAGTATATCTATGTTATGATTATTGTTCAACTGTTACTGAGTGGGGGCAGTACCCAAGGTATATCCTTAAAGGGTCGATGCATGGGGGTTCCTTTAAGGGGTTCCTCTAAGGGTCCCATAAGGGTTTGGGGGTATTTTAACAAGGGTTGATGCAATCACATAGTGGGGCCCCAGTATGTACTGTATTCGTACATGGACCCTTGGGGATACCGGGCTAATGGTTTTAGCAGTTGAGCGGCAAAGCGCACCTAAACCTTACAAACCTTAGTCCCATAAGCCTAAACCCTGCAATCCCTACGAGCTCTGTGGGGCAGGCTGTATGTAGGCAGGGCATACCATAACAATGCATAACCCAAAGCTCTCTTGAATGCCCCTACATCATAGCCCTGTCTCGGGCCCTGAAGCCCGCGACGGCTTCGGGCTGAGGGTTTCAGGGACTTTGACGAGGAGTAGCTAAAACGGGCCGAGCCATGTTAAGACGACGGCTTGTGTTTGGTTCAGGGTTTGGTAGGGTCTCTGGGTCCATGGGTCTATACATCTACGGAACCGATCCCTGAGATCTTCATGCGCTGCTCTTTGACAGTGGGCCGCCTGGCACGAAGCTTCGGGGTAGACTACCCGCCAATGGCCTCCAGAGCGCACCTCGCTTGCATTTGCAGATTGTTCAGTAGCGCCCTACTTTGGTCCCAGAAGCTTGACAAGAGAGAGAGAGAGAGAGAGAGAGAGAGAGAGAGAGAGAGAGAGAGAGAGAGAGAGAGAGAGAGAGAGAGAGAGAGAGAGAGAGAGAGAGAGAGGGAGAGAGAGGGGGATACAATAATCATCTTTGGCAGTCAACTTGAGAGAACTTTGCGGCGGCTGGGCTGACACGGCGCCCGTTCTCAGAAGCAATCTTGGAAAACCATGCTTCTGAGAAGGTTCTCTGTTTTGACCCGCAAATGCAAAACGGTTTCAAGGCACCAACATGTTCAGCATGAACACAGTTGTCAAAAAGCTATGGAATATACAATGTGGCGATTAAGCACAATTCTTGGGAAGTGACAAAAGCATGTTTTGATGGGTCTAGGAATCTGACGGTGTGCAAAATGAACTAAAACTTGTAGAAAAATTGTCCTGCAAAAAAAGCTGACAAAACCTCGTTCGTGGGCGGTGTAAAACGAAGTGTTTTCAATCAATACGGGTGTGTGTATTCAAAGGAAAACTAAGGAAAAAGGATTCAAGGGGTTAGATTGTAGACCAACCTTCGGTACGGTGGCAATACATTCAAAGGCTCCAGTAGCTAAGCTCAGAAACCTGTGCAAGGACTTTGGGTTTATATTGGGTTAACCTGATAGCCCCAAAACCCTAAACCCTAAACCCTAAACCCAAAACCCTAAACCCAAAACCCTAAACCCCAAAGCCAAACCTGAGAACCCCAAGACCTTAAACCTCTGTCTCCCTCGAGCCCCCGACCGCCCGAAGCCCTCAACTCTGAAAACCAGGAATTCAGCCTACCATTGGGGTTTAGGGTTTAGGGGAAGCATATCATAGCTGTCGGAATAAGTAGCCATGACACTTAGTGATAGTATTCTCGCATGGTCCCTGCTATAGCTCTCTCTTCTTCAGTAGCCGGGCCCAAGAAGTTCAATCTTTAAGAGCTAAGCCAAACATATAAGCTGCCCTTGCAAGGGGCCGAGAGGTTTAAAGTTCTCCCACTGTCTACCCAAGGTCACTATGCTATAATATAACTCTTCAGACCCAAGAACTTCTAGACCCGAGAAACTACCAGATAAGATAACTTTTCAAACCCCCAAAACCCTGGGCATCAACATAGCCGAACAGCCATATATAGTATGCTCTTTGGGCCCAAAAGCCTTCAAAAATGGGTAGTGGTCAAAATTATGGTCCCTTGTTGGGTCCTTAACATAATACGGCACCTAATATTTCGGGTACCCGATTAGGGGCCATAATTTTGACAACTACCCATATAGTATGCTCTTTGGGCCCAAAAGCCTTCATATATGGGAGTTTCCGAAAACGGGACCCTAGTATAGTACCCCAATATAGCAGGATCCCTACTATAAGGACCCCCAAAATAAGGTACCCCTAATTTTCGGAAACCCAGCCCATAGATCCCTAGGGAAAGGGCCTGAGTACACAAAGGGGAAAAGGCGGGACCCTTAGTAAGGACCCCTAGGTATATACCCTTAATATAGCTATTATATACCCATTATATAGCCCCATATAGGGTCCCAGGGGTCCCCATGAAGGGTCCCTCCTTTTCCCCTAAACCCCCTAAACCCCCAAACCTCTAAACCCTAAACCCTATGCCCTCATAGAATCCCTATAGATCCCTTTAAGGGGTCCCCATTAAGGGTCCCTCCTTTTCCCCTTTGAGAGAAACCTCCAGGGCTGCATCCAGGTCGTTCAGCAAAGTTCGACTCGGCTCCTGAGCAGTACTTGGAGGATCAGGGAACTTAGTAAGTAAGGTTACAGGTACGTACCCTAATTGGGGTTATAAGTAATTAGAAGTACAGTTACCTTATTTATAACCCTAGTTACTAAGTCCCATGATCTTTTAAGTACCCGGTTCCCAGAGACTCCAATATCCCTCAATTGGGGAATATACCTTAAATCACATTAAGGATCCTACTATAATTTAAGGAATATTCCTTAGTTGAGGGA